AGTGAACAATTTGTGAAAATAGGTTCGCTGATTGTATCCGACGCAGAGTCCAGCCAATAAAAGTAAAGGAGCGAGGAGCAGAGTGGGTCTTTCTAAAATATAACACGCGCGGTAGAACTCATGTCAGGGTACCGCGATAAAAACGGCCTCTGGCTATTACCTCCGTCGCTTATTGGCTCCCTTGCGGTGGTCTGCTCAGGAGCTACCTTTAAGGAGTCTGTGAGCGGGGCGGGGAATGACACATGGCGAGTGACTAACCTTCGCTCACTTGCGTTACGTGGCACTACGACGTCACGAAGACTGGTACTTGTCAAAGGGTCGGCCTCCAGTGAGAGTCAAATGCATTGGCACTAAAAACAAAGTTAAGTACTTAGTAGGCAATCAATGTTTATACACTCATATAGACTTGTTGTTTCACAGTTTTTAGAAAAATAAGTAAAGAAAACCTGTTGTAAAAGGTAGACTAGCGCGAAGAAAAAGGCACAAATGTAAAGAATTTCTTACCGCAAATAGAAAAACTCTTACTTCAAGAAATAAAATAAAATAAATTAAACCCAGTCTTGTCTAACTATGTTGTAGAAACGCACAGGTCGGATTGACACATGACTTGGGTCTCCGCCCCGCGCGCGCACCACCACACTTTAATTGCCCCTGTGCTGGAGGACAGGTCTTGGCTTTAGTGACACGTATCGCAGTAGTGTTGTGATGCGAGTGCACTCGGCGAGGCCTCCTTTCCTGCGAGGGGTAACGTAGAATTTTGATTAAAGGAGGGACGAAGAGCACCAAAGGAACAGCATAGAGGGAACGAAAGGACCACCTGCCCTGATCAGTGTCCTTTTGCTGTTGTTTCACTCCTACGTTCCTAAAGGTAAATTGGGCTGGGACTCTACCGTCTGTATAGGTCATGACACCTGTTAGGGGTGTCCTAGTAAACCCACTTCAAGGAGTCCCGTGTTGGTGTACTGACTGACGTCACCCCAAACTTGACACTCGGTGACTAGGACTTGTTGTGCGTGTCAGGTGTTACGCGGTGTGCGGGGAGGAATGCTAAATAAAGAAACTGTAACGATAATAAAAGTACTTAATGATGAGAAAGTGAAATTCAATGTAAAGGTTACGGTCCCTCGATCTCATACCAAGATAGCCCAACACCATTTCTTTATGAAAAAGAATATCTAGACGTTCTGCCAGGTAAAGTGGTATGACTGACGTCCTACCCTCCGGTCGAGTATGCAAATTACACACACACACAACACCACACACAACCACACACACAACCACACACACACACACACAACACACACACACACACCACACCACACACACATCACACTTGGACGTTCTAACCTTATTACAAGTCGAAAGAAACTTCACTCGAAACTTACTATCTTCGTCTAGACTCTAAAGTGTGAAGTGCGTAATGTTTCCTTAACTATATCGGTCTCCCCGTGTGTGGTGTGGGTGTGGTGTGTGTGTGTGTGTGTGTGTGTCGTGTGTTGTGTGTGTGTTGTGTGTGTGTGTGTGTGTGCCCCGGTGTGTGTGTGTGTGTGTGTGTGTGTTGTGTGTGTGTGTGTGTGTGTGTGTGTTGTCGTGCGGTGTGTGTTGTGTGTGTGTTGTGGTGTTGATGTGTGTGTGTGTGTGTGTCCGGGGTGTGGCTGGGCAGTGTTGTGTGTGTTGTGTGTGTGTCGCTGTCACGTGTGTGTGTGTGTGTGTGTGGGTGTGTGTGAAGTCTACGAGTGTCTGTCCACTGGCTATTCATCATGTTGATGAAAGGATCCTTAGTTTTACTATTTTCAAAGACAAATCATTTGCGGACGGAGTAATTTCTGGATGATAGCAATGTTTTTCATACTTCGACGAACGTAGTTTTTGAATGTTTTACTGACACACCAAGTACTCGCTTTGGGACCACTATGTTAGACATAAGTATTTCAACTAAAATATAAAGTATAATCGATTATTCAGACATAGACTTATTCTTCATACTCTTCGTCGTACTGTTACTTTCATGAGTCGAGAATAACGCGTTACTTTTAGAGTTCTCTAACCTACTGCGTCACGTTAGTCTCTCTATAGTCATACAGGTGCAAAGAACTCCGTTCAAGGGTGCGTTGAGGTCAGACAACAGTTGCAGACAGAGGTGGAAGGCGCAAGGACGACCGCGGGTGAAGGTCAATGCAGAGAGGCGGCGGAGGATGGGTCAGATAGGCAGCGTTACAGGTACCCGGGAAGTTACAGTGCAAAATGCTGTAGGAACTTCGCGTCGTCACCAGGCGAGGAGACGAGACCTTGGTCGGCGAGTCGAGCGACATATTTAGCAGGAAACCGTCGCGCAGGGTAGACCGTAAGACGCTTCTCCCCTGGCTCTCCGGTGCGCTCGGAGGACTGGAAGTCACAAACCTTGTAAGCGCTGAATACGACGGAGCATGCGCGGTGTGGGCGAGCAAGCACTCTGGAACAGTTTGGGGTACACTATGGCTCTCTCTACGTTGTCCGTGGCGCGTACACGTTTTCGTA